AAAAAAAAAAAAAAAAAAAAAAAAAAATGAAAATGCAGTTTATTGTTATAAGTTTATTTTTAACCTAAAAAGTGAAATGCAATCTACAAAAGTATTTTAAATATCTCCCTTTGTTTTTTTCTCTCTTTTTTGGTAGATCTAGGTCCAAGGAGAAAACAGAAGGTGGGGAAAGTTCTAAAGAGAAGAAAAAAGACAAAGATGATAAAGAAGATGAAAAAGAAAAAGATGCTGGTGTATGTTTGCTAATTTAAAAATAATTGTATAGGGTCAGGATTTAGCTCAGTGGTTCCACCACCTTCCTTGCAAGTGCAAGGTCCCTAGTTTGATCCCCAGTATCAAAAAATAAAAATAATCGTATAATATGAATTGTGTTTCTGTGGAATGACAAATTATTTGTTTTCATAGGGATGTATACTTTCTTTTTAAATGAACATTATCTACTATATTATAAACAGGATAAAAAAATTATCCCCATGAGAAATTTTCTTGAAAAAATTTATATATGTATACATATTATAAATTTATATTTGCAAATGTGATCACACCATGTAAATATTATCAAATTACCTCCCAAAAAGTTATATAAATTTAGACTTCGGAAACCCCAACAACCCAATCCCCTTTCTCCCATCAAGCTCAGGACCTTGTGATTGTGAGCGAAGTAGGTGCGGAACCACTGAGCTAACTCCCTAGCCCTAGACCAGAATTTAGACTAGGAAAATGTCTGTTTTCTTCTATCTCTAAACATGGGATGTCAAAATTTAATTTTCAGTCTCCTAGGAAGTGATCAATACTTCATTATTTTTTTTAATTGCACATCTTTGTTTTAATTGCATGTCTTTGAGTGAAAATATCTAGTATAAACATAGCACATAAACACATCACACACAAAATATATTTTCTTAAGTTTACTGACTTGCACTTTTCTTTTGAGTTGCCTATTCATATTTTTTGCTCACTTTAGAATGTGTTACAACTTTGCTTTTTATTTTTGGTGTGTTCTATTCTTTTAGTCCTTCCTTTTTAGTAAGGGGATTGCTTGCAAAGCACTATAACAGAAAAAAATAAAACATGGGAAAACTGGGCAACTGGTTTCTGAACCAGTTTATTCTGTTGAATGGATGATCCTGAGAAAAGCAAATAAGCTTTCAGGGGCATATCTTTAGAGAAGATGGCCTGTATTGCAAGCACAAAGTCCTGAGTCTGAAAAAAGAAAAAAAATGTATTAGGGGTGTGCATGGTAGCACAAGCCTGTAATCCCAGCACTCAAGAGGCAGAGGCAGGAGGATTGCTGTGAATTTAAGGCTAGCCTGGTCTACATAGTATGTTCAGGGCCAACCTGAGCTACAAAGTGAGGCCCTGTCTCAAAAACAAACAAAAAATTGTATTATTGATCTTTTGCACCTGCCTTGCAATCACATGGTCCAGAGTTCAATTTCAAAAAAACTGTACTAGGGATCAAACCCAGGGATAATCAACCAATGAACTACATCCTCAACCCTTTCTTTAATTTTTTATTTTGACACTGAGTTGCTAAATTGTCCAGGCTGCGCTTAAACTCATAATCTTTTTGTCTCAGTGCTGGGATTTCATGTGTTTGCTGCCATGCCCAACTTTGATTCAGAGGGAAAATTGTAGTTCATGAGTGCATAATGTTTGTAATTAAAATGATATTAAGTCATAGAATTTAAAATCTGTCAGCTTTATTAAAGTTACTTTTTATTGTGATTTCACTGTGATAATATATTTGTAGGTATATTTATAAAGATGTGTGATCTACTAAATCTGGCCTACATTGAGTATACCTATTTTTCCTTTTATATTTTGCCATATTTAGAATGTCACTTCAGGTAAAATCACTAGTACTGGCTTTGCTTTTTACATTTCCTCTCTTTTTTTTCCCCAAGAACTTTGACCAGAATAAGCTGGAGGAAGAAATGAGAAAGCGAAAAGAAAGAGTTGAGAAATGGAGAGAAGAGCAACGTAAAAAGGCCATGGAAAACATAGGAGAACTGAAAAAAGAAATTGAAGAGATGAAACAAGGGAAAAAATGGAGTTTAGAAGATGATGATGGTATTTTTATTGGCCTAACTGCATATATAACAATTCCTATGGACTTTTAAAATAGAATTATTAGTAATATTTCATACTGTTTTTTATTGTAGAAATAATATGTAATACAATATTGTGGAAATAGAATATTGTAGGTAGTGTACATATGATAATCACCATTTAAACCATTTTACAGTGGATAATTCGGTGGTAAATTCATTCACAATGTTGACAGCCATTACCAATGTCCATTTCTAAAATCTGTAGCTGTCCAAAAAAACTATACCCATTAAGCAACTCACCATTCTGCTTCCTATTTAATCTTTATTCTGCTTCGTTCTCTGTGAATTTGCCTATTCTGGGTACCTCATACAATATCTGTCCTTTTGTATCTTGCTTATTTCACTTAGCACGTGCTCCCTCCACTCTCTCTCTCTCTGTCTTCCTCTCTCCCCCTCTTCTTTCTTTCTCTCCTTCTCGCCTCTCCTCTTTTCCCCCTCTCCTCCTTTCCCCCTCCCCCTGTCTCTCCCTTTCTCCTCCTCCTTCAGAGATCTTCCTGCCTCAGCCTCCCCAGTGCTGGGATTTCAGATATGAGCCAACACATCCAGCTCATTTAGCATAATGTCTTTGTGTGTCAGGATTTCTTCTGTATGGTTGAGTGATACTCCACTATATGTGTGTCACATTTTGATTAGCCATTCATCTGTTTATATTTAAGTAGTTTCTGCCCTTTTTTGGGGGTGGTACCAGGGATCGAACTCAGGTCCTTGGATTTGCGAGGCAGGCACTGGAACCACTGAGCTAAATCCCTGGCCCCAGTAATTTTTGCCTTTGGTTACTGTGAATAATGCTGCTGTGAATCATGGCCTTATCGATGCTAAGCAAGTGCTCTAAATATTTGAATTACTGTTTTTATTCTTTGGGGGTATATTTGTAAACCTACAAGTAGAATTGCTGGATTCATATTAAGGGTTTTTTAGTTAGGAGTTTTTGCTATAATGTCTAGTCCAGGTCTAGCCTCAAACCCCTGGGCTCAAGCTGTCTACCTTAGCTTCCTGAGTAGCTAGGACTATAGGCACAAGCCACCACCTGATTGTATTGAGAATTTTAAGTGCTTCCTTTAGTGTTCATGTTAAAATTAAATTGTATAGCAGTGTTCAGTAAGAGTCACTGATTTTACTTTAATTTTTTGTTTTTGTGTTTTGTTTTTTGAGACAGGGTCTCACTTTGCAGTTCAGGCTGGCCTTGAACTTGTAACAATCTTTCTGCCTCAGCATCTCAAGTGCTGGGATTACATATGTGTCGCCACATCCAGCAGTGTATGCTTTTTTTGGTACCGGGGATCAAATTTAGGACCTTGTGCTTGCAAAGCATGCACCTACACCACTGAGCTAAATCCCTACTCCAATGTATGGTTTTTTGAGGGCAGATTTGTACATGTACATGTCATACTTGATCTTTTCTTCCCCTATCACTTCCCTTGCCTCACCCTCCTGGTTTCACACTAGGCGGGGAGGTTGATGTGTATAACATATTTTGATCATATCTACCCCACTATCATCTACCTTATAGCCACACCCCCTTATTTCCTTCTTCTTATTCAGTATGTACTAGTTTCCCTTCTACTTCCCTGTCATCTGTTTTTAGATTTCCACATATTAGGGAGAACATGCAACACCTGACCCTCTGAGTTCTTAAATTTTTAGTGCTAGTATGTTAGTTATGAGAGTAAATTGAAGGTGTGCTTTCAAATCCATTCTCTGAATTTTTTTTATTGAGTTTATTGGTACATTTTAGGTATACAGTACAGTTATATTCATTATTGGGATCTTGTACCTTTACATGACAGGTCTTGGTTCTCATTTTTACCCCTTGTCCCTGCCCTCCCTTCACCCCCTCCTCCCCTCCCCGTTTACAAACACTTTATTTCCATTTTTTCATTTTCTCATATTTTTTTACCATTCTCTAAATTTTCATAACTTGGGAGAGAAACAACCACTCAATAACTCAGCCACTTCTACTTTTTTTTCCCTTTTTTATTGTGCTGAGGGTTGAACTCAGGGCCTTGCCTATGCCAGGTCTGTGGTTGGCCACTGAGCCACGTTCAGGCAGATTCTTTCCTTTTGCTCCTTTTCAGTTAATTGACTCATTAGCATTTCTTTTCTCATTGTTATTATTCAGATACATATGCCTGCTATCAAAAAGGAAAAACTTAGAAATATGAGTATTTGAAATGCACTGTGGCTGGAGGAATTGGAAAGGTGACTCTTGAGGCAGTGAGGGAAAAGGTTAGAAATTGGGTATGGTCTGTGTGGAGTAATTACTTCAAAGAACGTATATAAAGAAAGCATATTCTGATTTTAGATGATGAAGATGATCCTGCAGAAGCTGAAAAGGAAGGAAATGATATGGAGGGTGAGGAGTTAGATCCATTAGATGCTTATATGGAAGAAGTGAAAGAGGAAGTAAAAAAGTTTAACATGAGAAGTGTAAAAGGTGGTGGGGGAAATGAAAAGGTACGGAATTTTTTCTTTATTTAAAAAAATTTCTTTAGTATATTTGTGATACATAATGAATATTTTCATCGTCTTTTCAAAAATTCATTCTTTTAAAAATTCATATTCTGAAGAAAAATTCAGAGAACTTGAATTCATCATTGCATTGTCTTATATTGATTTGCAGTTTTATATAGTTAATGTTTATAAAGAGATGGCAGTCATTTTAGTAAATACTACAGAAACTGGCAAAGTTTAGCTGTAAACATAGTTTCAGAAACCACACTTTAACTGCCATTTTTGTTTAGTATCTTTGCTTATATGTTACCCTCTTAAGACCTTTTCAAATTCCTTATTTTCCTTACCTTTTTTTTATAGCATTCATTACCTTTTCACAAATTAATATAACTCTTAATGTGTTTACTGTTTTTTCTTCTTTACAAAATAAACTCCCCAGGAGCACTAATCTTTACCTGTTTTATTGATTTATGCAGGGTCTTAGAACAGTGCCTTGTGTATCTAATAAGTACAGAGTATCATGTATTTAACCAACTAAATATAAAATATGTGAGATATATTTTGGTTTTTTTGGTACCAGGGAACTCAGTTCCTTGCACCTGCAAAGCAGGTGGCAGAACCACTGAGCTAAATCCCGGGCCCAGATATGTGATTATATTACATTTAAAAATTCATAAAAATTAAAGAGAAAAGCCAACTGCTGTTTTTCATTGTCACTAAATTAATTTGAAATGAAATTACAACAACTGTTTTGCTGCATGTGGTATATAATTTGTATTTCACTTTTGCAAAATATTTCATATTACTTTTTTGTTTTAGAAGTCAGGGCCAACAGTCACAAAAGTTGTCACTGTTGTGACTACCAAAAAAGCAGTTGTAGATTCTGACAAGAAGAAAGGTGAGCTGATGGAGAATGACCAGGATGCCATGGAGGTGATTCTTTAATTTTTACTTTGTTCATGGTGCTGTCTTAGAAGTATTTATTGCAGAGTATTGATGGAGATGTGCTTTTCAGTTATGCATGCTATCACAGGGAATTCTTAGCTACTATAGTAGTATTCAGTTAAACATCCAATTTTAGTATATGTGCTGCCGAAGTGAGCACTAGCTAAACATCCATGTGTTAGATTATTCTGACATTTTCATCCTTTTCTATATACCCATTTTTTCCACTTCTTGTTAGCTCATGTCAAACATACAGTATGGAGAGAAGAAATGAAATGACAGAATGAATTTAATTTTTTCCCATTAATAAGGGGTAATGACGTATAGTGAGAATATTAGCAAAACTTTATTAAAGCAATCTCTCAGAATTATTTTAGCTTCGGTTGACATTTTAACTTCCTTTTTTTTTTGTACCAGGTATCAAACTCAGGACTTTGGGCTCGCCAGGCAGGCGTGGCACCACTAAGCTACAATCCCTGGCTCCATTTTAACTTTCTATAAGGGCAAAATAAAAAGAAATTAAGTTGAAAAATTCTTCCAGATCTAAAGTATTTCTATTCAAAATGACAAATATCGTTTTAGATGATTTTTAAGTTATGAGGGTTTTAAGTTTCTTAAGAGTAGCATGTAAATCTTGTGGGTCAAGTAGTTTGCTTCAAAAGTAGAAAAAGAAGAGCCAAGCTGGATGTAGTGGCGCAGTGCCTCTAATCCCAGCACTTGGCAGGCTGTGGCAGGAGGATTGTCATGAGTTCAAGGCCAACCTGAATTACGTAGTGTGACCCTATTAATAGTTTCTAGGACAGGAAGATTTTTAATTTTGCTTCCCATACAAGTAAATAATAGTGAACTTTTTACTTTTTTTTTTTTTTTGTAAAATGAAGTATTCTTCAGAGGAAGAAGAAGTTGATCTTCAGACAGCCCTTACAGGCTATCAGACAAAGCAGAGAAAACTTCTAGAACCAGTTGATCATGGAAAAATTGAATATGAGCCATTCAGAAAAAACTTTTACGTTGAAGTTCCAGAACTAGCAAAAATGTCTCAAGAGGGTAAAATTCTCTTATTCATTTATTGGTTATAGTGGGATTAGAGGAGGATATACCTCACTTTGCTTAGGAATATAGATGTAAGTCTGTGAGTTGGAGGATGTCTTTGGAAATATTTTAAAATTGAGCAAAAATTAATTCAACTCATTTAGTTGATTATGTTTTTAGGGTTAGAATTGTCTTCATGCGAAGTTACAAATGAAGTATTTCTGTTAGCCCTTCTACTGTTTGAGTTAGACACCTTTGTGAATCTGTGTTGGCTGAATAAAAGTAATTTGGTCAGCTAATGCTAGAAGAACAAGTAGAATTCTTGTCAATTATTCCTTATTCTTTGATTGTTATTGCGATTATTGAAATTAGGGTATTTTTTCTTGGTCTTTAGTTGTTCACAGCAATAATTGCTATAACTGACTCTTGAGATATTTGGTGTTTTCCTCTGGTAGCTTTTATCTGAAATTATCTTTAATAATGTTTAAACTGTTAAAAGTTCTAAGTCTTACCATGCCTAATTGATAAGTAAAGGGTACCAGTAGAACAATTTTTAAGAGTATTTTAATTTGGGTTTTGTTTTGTGTAGAGGTGAATGTGTTTCGGTTGGAAATGGAAGGCATTACAGTGAAAGGAAAAGGTTGTCCCAAACCAATTAAATCTTGGGTCCAGTGTGGAATTTCCATGAAGATCTTAAATTCTCTCAAAAAGTAAGTGGTTGGTAGTTTTCCATGGTTTTCAATATCTTGCTATTCAGAATAGCCCTTTGATGCCACCTGCCTCACCAAGCACAAGGACCTGAGTTCGATCCCTGGTACCGAAAACAAAAAAGTCCTTTGAGCTAGGTGTGGAATGTACACCTATAATCCCAGGACTCGGGGGACTGAGGCAAGAGGATCGCTGTGAGTTCAGTGTCAGCCTGGGTTACATAATGAGACCCTGTCTAAAAAACCAAAGTAGCCCTTTTATACAAATGTCTCTCTCTGTCTTAGTCACTCGACACTGAGACATAATATCCAGCATCTGCTTCTTGAAGGAAGTTTTATTTTGGCTCACAGTTTGTTAGAGGTTTTAATCCATAGTCCACAGGCTCCAAGCATGATAGAGAGGCATAGTGTAGGAGAGCTTTTCGTGGTTTGGCAGCAGGGAAGTAAGAGAGAGTGAAGGGAGGAAACTGATAGGAGGTAAATCCTATGCTACGCCTCAAGTGATCAGCCTCTTCTCAGCAGACCCCCATCTCCTAACATCAAGTCAGCTGTAAGTCCCCATAATCTAGTCACTTCCCAGAAGCCCTGCCTGTAAGCACATGAGGCTTTGGGCTGCATCTAGATAGGAACCATAACAATTTTTCTGGGTTACGTTTTCACTCTAATTGAAAATTTACTCCTTTGTGTGTGTGTGTGTTGCACAGTGCTGGGGCTATAACCTGGGTGTCATGTGTGCTAGAGTAAGCTTTCTACCTCAGTCTTTTTTTTTTTTACCCCAGTCTTATTTTTCCTTAAACAGCTTATAGCGATATAATTTAAATATAAAATTTATCATTTAAAGTACACAATTAAATGGTGGGCCTATGGTGCTGTGCAAACACCTAATTTTAGTACATTCTCTTCCCCCCCAAAAAAAAACCTGTATTCATTAAGGTTTGCTCTAATCCTATTTTCCCTACTCTGGGTAACCATTAATGTGCTTTCTATCTATAGATTTGGCTATCTGGACATTTCATATAAGTAGGATTATATAGTAAGTCTTTTCTGGATGACTTCACTTAGTATAATCAAAACATTATCAGTATTTATCCATGTTTTAGAATCTCATAGTACTTCTGTTCCTTTTTTTATTGGAATCAAGGGCTTGCTGTGTAGTTCAGGCTGGCCTTTAACTCACTGTGTAGCCCAGGCTGGCCTCAAACTTGAAGGGATTTTCCTGCCTCAGCCTCCCAAGTGCTAGGATTACAGACATGTGCCACCATGCCCAGATTTCCATTCCTTTTTAATGTAAATAATATATTGTATGGATATGTCACACTTCAGGAGAACTTGTTTTTACAGGACCCTGAGGGGTCTGGAGAACTCAATTCTTACCTGGTCTTCCTTTTTTTAGGCATGGCTATGAGAAGCCCACACCAATCCAAACCCAAGCAATTCCTGCAATAATGTCTGGACGAGATTTGATTGGTATTGCCAAGACAGGAAGCGGAAAGACCATTGCTTTTCTGCTGCCCATGTTTAGACACATCATGGATCAGAGGTCACTAGAAGAAGGAGAGGGTCCAATAGGTACAATTCTTCTCATTAAATTATTTTTGAAGATATCTTTGTTGTGAGCTAATCAGAATGAGCTGATATTCCATAATCTTAATTACGACAATGAAGATATCTTAATGTACATTTCCTTTATCAATGTGGCACTTTGGGGCTGATTTCCCCTTACCAGCAGGTGGAGTGAGAATCTTCAGAGCTCTGGAGTGACATCTCAGAAGTACAAAAACAGCCTGTCCTGGCACAGCTCAGTTTTAAAACTCGGCAGGTAGAACCCTTGTGCATCTGTTTACTTACATTGAGGTTTGCTCTTAGCCAAATATCAGTGGATATATAAACTCAACATGGAAGATAATAGGGAATTAATATTTTCTTAGTTTTTTTCTTTGCCTTGCAAGGCTGTAGTGCCAGTGTTTCATCATTGGGTCTTCAAATTCAGATTTCTTGATCATTTTGGCAAAGATACCTTCTGCAGATTTGAGTAGGGTTTTGGAAAATTGTTCAGCTCCTCTCTTGGAAATACAGAGCAAAGTACATTTCTCCTCTCTCTGTGCCCCTCAGACTGAGGTTGTTTCAGGAAGCAGCAATATGGCTTCTGCCATACAGTGAGTCTTTTTTTCTGTTCTGTTCTGTGATTTGCAGTTGAAAACTTTATATGGTGTTCCACTAAGTATTTTTCTGAGGGTTGAATGTGGCATTTAACCCTCATTCATTTTCCTGTAGCGTGTTCTTAAAAATCTACTTATATTTATCCTTCACTCTAATCTCTGCATTTATAAAGATTTTGAAATTCAATTTTCTGAGTTGCATTCAATTTTTTTACTAAGATCTGAATTGTATTGCAGAGGTAAAACTTAGCATTTGAAAGCATAGCTTTTCAAGAACTTTAATGGTTAGGGTTTTGACATATTTATCTTTTCAGCTGTCATCATGACTCCAACTCGAGAACTGGCTTTACAAATTACTAAAGAATGTAAGAAGTTTTCGAAGACCTTAGGACTTAGAGTGGTCTGTGTTTATGGAGGAACAGGAATCAGTGAGCAGGTATAAAAGAAACATTCAATAAAGTAAAAAGTTAGTTTTTATTTTAGTGTTTTGAATAGTGACTGTAAAATCATAAGGAATATTATGTATGAAAATAATTGTAAGATTGAATCATGGTCATGCATGGTGGCATATGCCTATAATCCTAGCTATTTAAGAGGCTAAAGCAGGAAGATTGCAAGTTTGAGGCCAGCTTGGAAACCCTGTCTTAAAGAGGGCTTGGGGTTGTAGTTCAGTGGTAGACTGTCCCTGGGTTCAGTCCTTAGCACCACCGAAAAAGAAAAGAAAAGGCAAGCAAGCAAGCAAAAATGGGAAAAACTAAGTGATGTTTTCTGAATTTGTTTAACCACAGAACCTTTCTTAGGACTAGTATTACAAGAACACTTTTCAGTAATGTTTGTTTTTGTTATCCCTGTGTGACTTTAAATACTTAACCTTAGTTTATTTTTAGTTTATTTTCTAAGTTTATCTATGTCAATTTTTTGTCCACAGCTTATAGTAAGAAATATGTTTATAAGCAAAATTTAAAAAACAAGTCACAACTAATACATTTACAAAATAACCTAATACATATGTGCATATTATGTCTTTATAAATAAAGTTAAATTTTATTGATAGGCCACTCTGGTTATTCTTTTTTGTTGTTGTTGTTAGTACAAGGAATTGCTTCTAGGCCGTTTGGCTAAGATCAAGTGTAGTACCAAGGATTGGAACCAAACTTTCCTACTGAACTATATCCTGGGACCTTTTTAAAATTTTTTATTTTGAGACAGGGCCTCGCTAAGTTGTCTGTTAATCCTTTGCCTCAGCCTCCTAGAATACACACATTTCAGACGTGTGCCACTGCATTGGCTTCATTATGTTTATTTTAAAATTCTGGTTATCACTCAGGAAATGCTTTTTGTATTTACTGGTAGTATTTACTAATGGTTACTACTCTCGCCTTGTTTTTTTTGGGGGGGGGGTTTGAGGTATAGTGGCAAATTAAACTGGGTAAAATTCTTTAGTTTCACTGGTTTCCAAAGTTGGCACCATGTGGCTGGCTGTGCTGCAATTGCCCTTTCTGTTATTAATGCTTCCTCATTCCAAAGAATTAGGCTTTGGAGTCTTCTATCAGAACTTGTGTTACCTATTAGAGCCATGCAAAGGCCACATACTATGTTTTTAAATCTATTTAAGTATTAGTGATGAATAGGTTACACAATTTCATCTTCTTTTATTAGATTGCTGAACTGAAAAGAGGTGCTGAAATTATTGTTTGCACACCTGGTCGAATGATTGACATGTTAGCAGCTAACAGTGGTAAGTTAGGGGTATTCTTTTTCTCTCTTATTTTTGAATTTTATGCTTTTTTGTTAAAGCAGATATAGGAAACCAACAAAGGGTTTCTACATTTCTTCTTAAAGCTATAATATCTTAAAATTTGTATTATGACAAGTTTTTGTTGTAAGCATTAATAATTTGTTTTTGCAATTCAATTTAAAGTGTCTTTTCAGAAGTAACTCCCTCTCATCTTTTAGCACATAACTTGGATTGTTAATCCAGTTTTTACTTAGCTTTGCTTTTGAAAGGGTGGAATACTATGCTTTTTCTTTATAAAATATAGACTTTTTCCAACGGGAGCTAGTCTTTTACAATACTGGATGAGATATTGCAGCTTTAAGAAATTTTATCTTTTATAAATGTTGCACGTTTTTGGCACAGATGTTATGCTTTGTTAAATTTTTCCCTATCAAAACTGTTACTAAACTGTTGACATTATTTAACTTCTGTGGAGAAAGGCCCTTCAAGATTTATAGAACTGGGCTTCCGAGACTTAAACCACCAAAGGTAGGTAATTTAATGCTGTTCCCAACCTTGCAAAAAACTAATTGGGGCTGCAAATGTTAGTGTGGAATATTTAAATACTAGGAAGTAACTTATTTTGGCTCATTTTTATTTTTTGAAGAAAATGCTTCAAAAGTCTCCATTGCAGTATTCTGTATATACATAATAGAATATTAAAAACCGAGTAATGCATGTTTCTAATAGCATTCTATTTGAATTTCTGTGTAAATTTATTTCTAATTCTATATGAAGTTGACAAAGTGACACTTGACATTGTTCCATATTGTGCATGTATGGCATTTGAAATGTTTTGGGATGAATGCTGATTAAATAATCCCTTGTTTTTTTCTCAATGCTGCATTAGTTAAATATCCTGAAATTCATCTTGATTAATTTTACCTTTTTCCTTTGTGTGTCCTTTTGGTTTATCTTTAATAACTATTTTATACATGTTTTTGCCAGGTGATTGATGCAACAGTGGTAGCAATGCTTGTATTAATCTTTTTAAAAGGGTTTTTCTGTGTATGAATTTAGCTTTCACTAGTTAAGCCTGGAGCATTTATTTAGACTGGTGGGGAATACTTAATAAAATTAGATTTGTATCTTTCTATAATAAAATGTATTTATGTAATGGATTTAGTAGTCAGGCTTTTTGTGTAACATGTTAGTCACCTAATGATGTTGAATAGGTTCTCGTTAATGTTGATAATATCCATTTAAGGAGCTTCTAACTACATGGAAGTAGATTATAAAGTATGTAAAGAGTTTTCTGCATCTGAAGTAGTTTGCACTGGAACTTGCTTTCCACACATACGCTGTAATCTCTAATATGTTCTTTTCTAGGTGATGCTGTCAGATAATGGCTGATGTGGCTCGATGCTTCATCTCAGTCTTAGTTTTATGATGTGTTTTGGAGAGGGCTGTTTTCTGAATTTTACAGGTTCTTCAGGCCCTATGATGGTATGCAAGAGACGAGTTTGACAAAATAAAGGGCCTCATATATCCATTGTCAGAAAGTATTTGCCACTAGATTAAGACACTGTAGACCAAAATTTCTTTTCACTGTTAACCTACCCCTCTGATTAAGTCAGGCATTTTAGTTCCCTTTACAGTTTTTAAGTTGTTGGTAGTCATAAAATAAATTGTCACTAACTTTTAAGGGTTTATTTCTTTCTTTATTTTTTCTTCTCACTTTAGGTCGGGTCACAAATCTTCGAAGAGTGACATATGTTGTTTTAGATGAAGCAGATAGAATGTTTGACATGGGATTTGAACCACAGGTAGTAATTAAATCACTTAGTGTTTTTGAAATGTAAATATGATCTTTGTTTATATGTTTGTTTGACATAAGGTCTTACTTTGTCATTCAAACTGGCCTTGATTGAACGTACTGTGTAGCCCATGCTGGCCTGGAACTTGGCTTAGTCCTCCTGCCTCATCCTGAATGTTGGGATTATAAGTGTGTGAACTTCCACACTGAGTGTAAAATGTAAATATACTCTTTTTTTTTTTTTTTTTTTTTTTTAATATGCTCCTAACTGCCCTGAGAATGAAATACTTGTTTGGTATCTGAAATTCACATGCATTTCTGTTGCTTAGTTAACATAGTGGGTTAGGGCCATGAAATAAATGTTTACAGTATTTTAGATTATTCATAAAATGTGTTTAGGAAATATTTGTGTAAGTTTTCCTTAGCAATCTGAAACTGTCACTTGTCAAATTAGAATTGGTATACTGATAATAGAATCTTAAACTTTCCTGTCTTATGCTTTTTATTGTCTTTAAAATAGTTTTATTTCATGCTTTTAACTGCCCTCATGATCTAGATAGCATGTGCTATTTACATTTTCTAAATGTGAAAACTAAGATCAGAGCATTTGTTTATTTCTCATAAATGCAGTTTGCTCAAGTACAAAATTTCAGTGATACAAATTTATTGAAATTATTTTTTCTCTGAGCCAGGTGTGGTGGTGCACGCCCATAATCACAGCACTTAGGAGGGAGGCAAGAGGATCACTGTGAGTTGGAGACCAGCCTGGGCTACATAGTGAGTTCCAGGTCAGTCTCAACTACATAGAGACCCTGTTGGTGCACGCCCATAATCACAGCACTTAGGAGGGAGGCAAGAGGATCACTGTGAGTTGGAGACCAGCCTGGGCTACATAGTGAGTTCCAGGTCAGTCTCAACTACATAGTGAGACCCTGTCTCAAAAAAAAAAAAAACAAACCAATTAAAAAAAATTATTTTTTCTCGGAGATGCTGGGGATTGAACACAGGGCCTTTTGTGTGATAAGTAAGCACTATTACCTTTAGGCTATAGGCTCAGCCCCAGAAACAGTGTGCTTTGCTTGTAAGTGTGCTAGAGATGACAAAACAAAACCAAAAAAAAAAACCTTTATGATTAAGACTGAAATAATGAAAATTAGATGAATACAGTGTACTTAAGTTTATTCATATGTTTTTCCAAAAATACATAGCCCATCATTTGACAGTGCATGTATTGTGTTTAGACTTAGGGACTGAATTCTAATTTTAGTATATGTGGTGCCAAAGCCAGCACGAGACTGAATTCTAAATGAGCTATAAATGGGAGTATAAGAAATTGTAAAAAGAATTATAATACTTGAACCATGGGAGAAACAGTTAAAATGATGAGTAGAGGACTTGATAGCATCCTTTAACTCTTGGAAAGGCTGTCATGGAAGCATTGAGTTGATGCTTTTGGTCCCAAGGAGTGGGATTGGAACCCAGTGGGGAAGCTCTAGATCCTTGACTGAGCTTAGTAGAGGAAGGACTTGAATAAGCATTATTTGGATTTGAAGCAGGTTGCTTTTGAGAAGGGGCAGATATCAAATAGCCTTTTCATCTAGGTGTTCTGCCCGCAAGTGATTCTGAGAGTAATGAAAGACATTGCACATTGACTAAAGAAGTTAAGGCAGAGTGAGGTAGGCTTTTTAGAGCATCTTTAAAATCAGCGCATCAGTGTGTTCTAATTTCAAGCATGGAAAAAAAATTAGTTGATAAGAGAAAACTATAGCTTGCTTTTCTTAGTGGTATGTGGTACCTTTGAACAACATTTAAAAGTTATTCAAGAGTTAGGGATATAGTTCTGTGGTAGAAAGCCTTCACTCTGGATTTGATCCCCATAACCACTACAAGGCAGTTTATTTTCTTCATTAAAAAGCTTTTTTTTTTTTTTTTTTTGGTACTGGGGATTGAACTTGGGTCCTTGTGCGTGCAAGGCAGGCGGTGGAACCACTAAGCTAAATCCCCAGCCCTAAAAAGCATATTTAAAGTAATATCCAAGAGAATTTCAGAGTGCTTTGTGGTATTAGGAGGAACAGCATAGGGAATAATAAAGATTTAATAGAAATAAATTGAGATTGGCATGTGAATTAGACATAAACATAATCTGTTTTGAATCTTCTAACAGTAACATAATATATTCAAATAAGACAATTTATTTTTACCAGATATCCTAGTGTTAGAGTATTTTTATTATTGCAGGTTAAAATAACTAAAATCATTTTAGTACATGGCCAAAGGAGTCAAAGGGGAAAATCTACATAAAATGCAAATATAAAGTAAATAGTTTTCTAAGAAGCCAGTTACAAGCAAGATTCCCTATTTTCACAAACTTTAATGAGGACAAAGACAAGTAATATATGTCAGATGGTTTGTGCTGTGGAGAAAATAGTGTAAGATAGTAGAGTGATAGGAGAAAGGGGTGCTACTTTAGGGAAATCAAGAAAGGCCTTGCTAATAGCTGACTTGAATAAAGTGAGGTATTGAGCCATAATGATATTTATGAGACAAGCGATAGGCAGAAAACAAGTACCAAAGCGCTAAGTTGGGTGCCTGCTTAGCCAGTGACTGTGGAGCAGAAGGGAAAGTGGGAGGAGGACAGAAAGAGGGGTGTGTGGGTGTTGTGCTGGCGGTGTAGTGAGGGTATAAGGTCCTGGACATTGGCCAGGAATTTGGGTTTTATCTTTAATGTGATGAGCTAGCCTTGGGGATTTTGAGCAAGGGAATTACTGACCTGGCTTCTTTTTCCTTTTCAGGTGAATCTGTAACTTGTGGGCGTTAGCATTAATAGTGCCTTCCCCACTTTCATCTTGTAGTTAATTAGCTTTAGCTTGGTGATTACCTCCATTTCTCTCGTGTTTCTGCTTTGTATGTGATTTTCCACAGTAGATAAATCTTTTATTTTTTTATTTTATTGATATATTTATTTTTTTGCGACAGGGTCTCATATGTGACTCAGGCTGGCCCCTAACTTGCCAATCCTCTTGCCTCAGCCTCCTGAATGCTGGCATTACAGACATGTTAGCTCACCCAGTTTACGGTGGATAAATCATAATTTGTCTGTTTTCATCCCTACTCCTGTCACATTCATCTACCATTTCATCCTTTATCTTCCTAGTAGAATTGTTCCTGTTTTAATTGAATAAGTATATAATGTTAGGACAATTTAAATGTTATTCACAGGCCAGATGTGGTGGTACATGACTGTAATCCCAGTACTTGGGAGGCTGAGGCAGGAGAATTGCCCTGAATTTGAGGCCAAGGTGGGCTACATAGTGAGTTCAAGGCCAGCCTGGATTGTTACTTTCCGGAGCTTTTGTCTTCCTTTTCCCTCCCCATCTGCTCTCTTCCTCTTTTATTTATTTATTTTGTGTGTGTGTGGTGTTGGGAATTGAACCTGGTCCTTTTGTTTTCAGACAGGTTCTCACTGAATTGCTGCTAAATTGCCCATGCTGGGCTTAAATTTGGTATTCTTCTGCCTCAGCCTCCCAGAGTGCAGGGATTACAGTCATGCACCATCACACTTGGTTTGTTTTCTGGGTTTCTTAGGTCACTATATACTTAAAACTAATGCAGTACCAAAGTGTACTACTTATCCAGAACTCCTCTCAAATAGTTGAGACGTATCAAGATACCTGTTAGTTTCATCTTTCTTTCTTTCTTTTTTTTTTTGGTTCTGGGGATCGAACTAGGGCCTTTGTGCTTGCAAGGCAGGCGGCAGAACCACCGAGCCAAATCCCCGGCCCTCAGTTTCATCTTTCTTCTATGAGCTTTCTCAGAACCCCTGACCAGTTTTAGTCAGGGTTAATTGTTCTCTGTATCTGACATCTGGGAATTGCCATCATTCTTATGGTCCCCTTTGTTTCTCACCGGTGTTGGGATCCCCAAAGTTCTGTATTTTAAGAGTAAATCTTTTAAAAAAAATGAGAACCAAGACCTGTCATGAAAAGGTACAAGATCCCAACAATGGAAAAAAAAAAAAAAAAGTAAATCTTTTAAACATTCACATTAAAAGATTTCCTTCTGTTTGTTTAGGGTTTATGTTCTCCAAATTGATTTTTAGTTTTAATCTCATGATGAGATTAGATACATTCTGTGGATGTGTGCTAATCTTTTGTTAACCATCTATACTTACGGGATAGGGAAGAGGTGAATTCAGAGCTCTTTGTGCTGAAATGAAATCAGCTATCTTTACTGAGAAATTAATCCCCTACCTTTTTCTTGGTACAGGTCTTAAATTTGAAATGCTTGAAACAAATATTTTAGATTTCAAAGTTTTTTAGATTTTGGTTTATTTGCAAAGATTCACTAGTTGAGCATCTCTAACCTGAAAATTTGAAATCTGAATTGCTCCAAAGTGTGAAACTTCAATGCTCAAGGAATTTGGATTTATCCAGGTGTGTTGTAGATGCCTGTGATGCTAACACTCGGGACGCTGAGGCAGGAGAATTGCCATGAGTTAAAGGCCAGTCTGGGCTTGTATTCAAGGCCAGCCTGAACTGCAGAGGGAAACCCTGCAGAAAACAAAGCAAAACAAAAATTTGGATTTTAGGGCATTTTGGATTTCCTGTTTTTGGATTTAAGAGTGTTCAGTCTATATATTCCTTTGGTTTGGAGATTACCTTTTCTGTAAAGAGAGTCTGGGAGTGTTGTTAGAGTTTGTACATACACAGAATCTATTGTACTCTCATTTATTTGTTGTTTAGCTGTTTAATCCTGGGGCACAGATTTTCCTTTTGGCTTTGTTTTAGGTTTAGGCCCCCCCCCCCCATCACAAAGAAGAGACAGAGTAGATCTCAGAGAAGCCACTTCCTGTAAAATCTAGGGCGTTCTTAATTTAGGATTTAGTTTTATTGTGTCTTCTTAGTCATGACTATCTACTCCACATGTTCTTGCTACCATTCCCTGTCTTTCTTTTTTTTGTTGGTTTGTGCTTCTTTTTTTTTTTTTTAAGTTTCCTGTATTTTCTAGGGATTTTGCAGGGGAAGAGAAGGAAAATGTATTAGGTCACTTGGTAATTTTTACTTGGAAATGGTGGCATCTGGCTTTTGGTTTTGATGTTTTGATGCTGGGGATTGAACCCAGAACCTGGTACCTGCTGAGGATGAGCTTTGCCCTGAGCCATGCTGCCAGCTCTGTTATCTGTTTTAAAACCATCATTTTGGCCATTGAGTGTACTTTTGAAATCAGGTATGGTATTAGGAGACTGTCAAGATAATCCTATGAGGGCCGGGGGTTTAGCTCAGTGGTTCTGCCACCTGCCTTGCAAGCTCAAGGACCCAAGTTCGATCCCCAGTACCAAAAAAAAAAAAAAAGAAATCCTATGAGATGAGGTGAAGGCTTGAACCCCGGAGTTCTAAGTGCCCTGAGTTGAATTGCTCCTTTCCTAGTCTTTATCTTTTTTTTTTTTTTCCTGGTACCAGGGCTAGAACTCAGAACTTTGTGCTTGCTAGGGACCACACCACTAAACTACATTCCCCAACCCCTTCATATCTTTTTTTTGGGGGGGGGTTGAGACAGGGTCTCAGTATGTAGTTGAGACTGACCTGGAACTCACTATGTAGCCCAGGCTGGTCTCAAACTCACAGCGATCCTCCTGCCTCAGCCTCCTGAGTGCTGGGATTACAGTCGTGTGCCACCACGCCCAGCTTCATATCATTTCTGATAGCTAAAGTATGGTCCAGGAATCCTGTATATTCCTGGCAAGACCTTCATCCTTCTCAGTTTCCAACCATTGGTCATTGTCCACCTTTAAATCACTGTCAGTGTTCTTGATCATGTCTTTTTTCCTGTTTATGGCTGCCACTACAAGAATCTGCAGACTTCTTGATTCCTTCAGGGCTCTATGTGCACTGATGTGATTGGTGCACCTATCACAGATACTTTACCTTTTTATTGTTTTATTTCTTTCTGAAGCTCTTATCACCATCTAATATATTGATCTTCCGTACAGTATATTGACACTTAATCTGTTTGTCCACACCCATTACAAAGTAGGCAACATGAAGACTTTTTAAAAATTTTGGGGGCACTGGGATTTGAACCCAGCGTTTTCATACTGAGCTACATCCCTAGCCATTCATTCATTCATTCATTCAGTTTCCAGATAGGGTCCTCACTAAGTTGTTCAGGCTGGGCTCCAACTTTTTTTTCTGGACATAGTCTTGCTGTGTAGTTTAGGCTGGCCCTGAACTATTATGTAGCCTTGAAATAGCAGTGATCCTCATGCCTCAGCCTCCTAGAATACTAGGGTTACAGGCATTTGCTACCATCTTTGGCTTCAGCTTTTCTTGTATTAGATACACAAAACAAAATTCATGATCTTCACCATTTTTAAAAATTAAAGTTTTTTTCCATCATTTTAATGAGTATAATACATCTTGCAAAACTACAATTATATCCTTACATAGTAACTCCCTGTTCTTCTATCACCTTCCAGCTCCTGGCAGCCACCACTCTACTTTGTCTCCATCATTTTGACTACTCTGATTACTTCATGTAAATGGTATCACAAGAGTATTTGTCTTTTCATGACTGGCTCATTTTACGTAGTATGTCTTCCAGGTTCATCCGTGCACTAGCCTGTGTTAAAAATTTTCTTCCTTTTAAAGGCCACGTAATATTCCATCATGTATATATCAACATTTTGTTTATTCATCTTTTGATACACAGTTGGGTTTCTTCTATGTTTCAATTTTTTAAGGAATTGTCATTGTGTTTTCCATAGCAGCTGTACCAGTTTGTATTCTTACCAAGAGCATACAAGGGGATTGTTGTTTCTCCTGATCCTCACTATCACTTGCTATTTTCTGATTTATGTTATTTTATTTTATTGTGGTCCTGGTGATTGAACCCAGGCCCTTCACATTGAGCTACATCCGTAATATTCTTTTGGTTTTTTGAGACAGGGTCTCACTGTGTAGTTCATACTGCTCTGGAACTCACTGTGTAGTCCAGGCTGGTCTCAAACTCGCAGCAATCCTCCTGCCTCATCCTCCCAAGTGCTGAGATTACAGGCGTGTGCCACCAGGCCCGGCATTACTTTTTTTCATTTTGAAGGAGGGTCTTACTAAGTCATTAAATTGCCCAGGCTGGACTACAACTTGTAATCTTTCTGCCTCAGCCTCCCAGAGGGTGAGGATTATAGGCATGCGCTACTATGCCCAGCCTGAGGTTTTGTTTTGTTTTGTTTTGTTTTAGTTGATTTTGTTGTGCAGTGCTGAGGATCAGGCTATGACCTTACATATGAGTATGTTCTCTACCACTCACCTGTGCTATCAGCAGTATGCGGTACAATCTACTGAAGCTTAGTTGGTGGCCTAACATATATTTTTTTTCCTGGAAGATATCCCTAGGTTCAAATCCTGGTAACCCCCTTCCCCTGATTTTATTTTTTGTCTTTAGAAAGTTTGACTCCTACTTTTAGTCCTTTTGAGTTCCTCTTGCTTAGACTTTCTTAGCTTTTTGGATATTTATGCAAACCTCTTTTCATCAAATTTGGGAAAGTTTCAGCCATTATTTTTTCAGATTTTCCCCTTCCCCTTTCTGTTTGTGGGGCACATGGTCTTCTTGATGGTATTCCATGAGTGCCCTGCTCACTTTTCTTGAGTCTTTTTTTTTTATTCCTGCTTTTCACATTGGATAATTTCTGTTCTGGCTTCACGTTTGCTGATTTATTCTTCTGTGTGCTAAAATCTGTCTTTGATTTCATAGAGTTAATTTTGTATTTATTGTATTTGGTAACTTCAGAATTGTTTTTTTCAATGTCTTTTTGCTGATATTTATATTTTGTTTATGCATTTTTTTCTTGACTTTTTCTGCATCTTCCTTTAGTTTTTTGAGCCTTTGTATAGTAGATCTGCCACCAGATCTTTTTCATAGTTTCTGTTGGTGATGAAGATGATGATTTTGAGTGGGCCATACTTTGCTCTTCTTTGTACGCCTTACAGATATCAGATTATTTCCCTTGGGTAGTGTTTGCTGGATTTTGGTTTTATTGGTTTTGGTTATCATGGACGGTGCTGTGAAGGATTGGCCTGGGGTACAAACGTAGTCTGTCTTTTCTGAGCCTGGACCTTTCTCTGGGTGTGTGTGGTCACTCTCTCATATCCCTTAAATATTCACTTGTTTTTGAATGTCCAGGTCTTTAAGACGGGAACAACGATGGGAGGACAGAGAGCACTGGTCTTTTAAGTCCTGGAACTCAGTTTAGTTACAGGGGAAAGGCCTGATGGCAGTTTAGGGCATAGTACAGAAGTGACCACTATCTCTTTACACCTTTGTGATGAGAAGTCACATTACAGATCCTGATCATTTGGGGGATAAGTTTTTTGTGTGCCCATCGTGGCTCTCCCAAGCTGTGTGCAGTCTGCTCTGGAACCATGTGCGCACTTCCCTGGAAGGAGGAGGCACCAGATGGATAACTGCTACTGTGAGAGCTGAACCTGGCAGATACTAACCCGTTTACCTTCCACCTCTTCCCTTGTAGAAGTTGTAAACCTTCAATAGACTCCAGAGTTCCGAAATAATTGTATCAGATTCTGCCAATGCAAATACTCTAAGTGGAAAGGCAGGTTTTCATTGCTTCCCATCCTGTCATCTATTTTTTGTTTTTATTTTATATTTCTAGTATTTGGCAGTGCCTGTCATATAATAAATGCTTAATAAAAATATATTGAATAAATGAACAGTAGTATATATTGGTTGCATTCTAGATACAGTTTAAAGATAGAGACAACTGAATTTGTTAATGGATTATTGTGAGGTGAGTGACAGAGATTAGTCCAATATGACATCTATTCTTTTGACCTACATCGTAGAGGTGCCATTTTTTTCAAATATAAAAACTGAGAACAACAAATTAGAGTATAAAATGAGTTGTGATATATTATAGGGTAACAAGTTGAAATAGTCATTCTCAAAAGTTCCTTTGACTAGATTTTGACATTGTATAAATTTTGGAGACTACTTATCATATTTGCTTTGTATTATTTTCTCAGGTCATGCGCATTGTGGATAATGTCCGTCCTGACCGACAGACAGTTATGTTTTCAGCTACTTTCCCTAGAGCTATGGAGGCCTTGGCACGCAGAATCCTGAGTAAACCCATTGAAGTACAGGTTGGAGGCAGGAGTGTGGTTTGTTCAGATGTGGAGCAACAGGTGGTGGGTACTCTTTATGAAATTCCTAGTTCCCTTTATAGTTTGTAGGACCCTCTGGAAATCAAGATGTGAGATGGGGCTGGGTGTGGTCACAGATGCCAGTAATCCCAGCATTTGTTAGGCTGAGGCAGTTTGAGGCTAGCCTGAACTACATAGTAAGACTTTGTCTTAGAAAGCCAAAAAAAAAAAGTGAGATCAGTAATTTCTAAAATTAAGTAGTATTTGTCAACTATAGCTTTCATTATTTTGACAGATAACACTTCATTGTGCTGTTACCTGGAATTCATTGCATTTTTAAACAGTTAATTATTTTTTGTTTTTTTGAGACAGGTCCTGCTATGTAGTCCAGGCTGGTCTTGAACTCACTGTGTTTAGCCTAAGCGGGCCTCAAACTCAAAGCATTCCTCCTGCCTCAGCCTACCAAGTTCTGGGATCACAGGATTGGTTAGCTGGAACTCACTGCTTTAAATGCTCTTTAGTTTCTCCTGTTAGAAGTGCAGGGCTGGTAGGTAGTTTCTGGGGATCAAACTCAGGACCTTGTGCTTGTAAGGCAGGTGCAGTGCCACTGAGCTAACTCCCTGGCCCATTATTAAGATACCTATCTTAATCTTTGGTTAGGTTACTAGGTTAAGGAACAGAGAGAACTGATAATTACTTTCTTACAATTTTTTTAAAAACTTACTGTTTTTCCAATTAAAATCAACATTTTTTAGCCTTTTTTAGTCATCCTTTTATTTATTCTCCACAAAATACATGAATATTTGTTTAATGAGCAGGGATGTGTTTGCATTTGTATTCCCATTAACTTGGTGCCACTTGGTACTTGCAGATTGTGATTGAAGAAGAAAAGAAATTCTTAAAGTTACTTGAGCTTCTAGGTCATTATCAAGAATCAGGATCTGTCATTATATTTGTGGATAAGCAGGAACATGCTGATGGTCTGCTGAAAGACTTAATGAGAGCATCTTATCCTTGCATGTCTCTTCATGGAGGTAATGTTCAGTTTACATATGAAATATCTTTTAAGTACTTCATGATGCCAAATACGACGCTGTGTTCTGAATCATAGTATTTGCTTTGTTCTTATAATTTAGGATTAATTTTCATATTACTTATTTCAGTTTTTACTCAAAACAACTATTTGGAGTAAGCAATATTATTATTCTACCTTAGAGATAAAAGAAATCCACCAGACATACATTGATTTGACCAAATTTATCACTTAAGCAGATACAGAAAAATTGAGCTCAAAACTTTCTGGCTGTTGTGTTACGTGCTTCCTGGAGGTTTCCATGATTCACTATAGAGCTTTCATTGAAATTGTAAAGCAATGTTTTAATTTGTATGTGACCTGTCATTGTTGAATATATTTGGGTCTTAAAACACAAAATTGATCTACCCTAACTAACTGGATGTTCTGGCTGTTACGACTTTGTAATGACCTGCTGCTTGTATTGGTGGTAGTGTCATTTCATATTCTGTAGTTTGGGCAAAGGTCTTTGTATATCTAATCTGTTTCATGCTGTTTATTGGGCTGGCTCAGGGCTGAAGATCCACTTCCAGTTTGCCTCACATGGCTGAAAGGTGGTATTTACTGAAGTTCAGTCAGGGCCTTTTGGGAGGCCATCTGGTCAAGAGACAAGAACCAGAAGCTAGTAGGCCAGTAGAGATAGTACTGGGAGTTGACAGAGTTTTCACTTCTGACATATACTGTTTATAGTTCAGAGTAGTCACCAAACTGGTACTCAAGAGAATGGAGACATGGCTGCCTTTTTTTCCTTTTTTTTTAATTTCTCTGTGTTGCTGGGGATTGAACCCAGGGCCTTGTGCATTCTTGGGTATCCTGCGACTGACCCACAGTCCCAGCCCAATTCTGTGTTCTGGTAGAATACCTTTATCTTTTTCTTTTTGGAGACCGAGTCTCACTATGTAGTTCAGGCTGACCTTGAATTTACAATAATCCTCCTGCCTCACCCTCTCCAGTGCTGTGGTTATGAGTATGCACCACTCCCCCTGGTTTAGAGTATTATTTTATACGCAGAACAGTGTGTGGGGTAGAATATACTATTACCTTCATCTTTGGAAAATGCAGTCTGTCACACTAGGCTATATATGGGATGAAATAAGGGCTTTGAAGTTTTTGTGTTTTTTTTTTTTTTAATGTTTGAACTCTTGATGGAAACCTGGGTTCTGCCTTTTGGCTATTGTGTATGATGTGGCTGCATGGTATACAAGTATCTTGTGTTATTGTTTTTAGTTCCTTTGGGTATGTACCTAGGAGTAGAGTTGCTTAGTCACTTGGTAAGTCTGTTTAAATTTTTCTGGTTTTTTTTTTTTGGTACTGGGGATTGAACTCAGATCCTTGCGCTTGCAAGGCAGGCCACTGAACCGCTGAGCTAAATCTCCGGCCCAGTCTGTTTAAATTTTTGAGGAACTATCAAATTGATTCCCACCTTGGCTATAGCATTTTATATTCTTACCAGCAGTGGACTAGTAGAGTTCTATTTTTTTCAGTATTCTGAAAAACTCGTTTTTTACTTTTTTGAAAATAGTCATTGTATTAGTTTTCTTGTCTTTGAGGTATAATACCCGACACCCACAACTTGTAGAAGGAGAGGCTTATTTTGCTTAGTTTCAGTTGATGATGAGTTGCTCTGAGGCAGAGACATCATGGTGGAAGGGCTTGGTGGAGCAAAGCTGCTTAGTTCACAGTGGCTGGAAGCAGAGTAGGGAAAGAATGCAGACAGGACAGATAGGGTATCTGCACGGTACCCAGGTCACATCTCCATGGCCCACCCAGACAGACCCAGGAGTGCATGTTACTAACCTGACAGGCTTTTCTTAACCCAGTGAAACTGACATAACAGGGTTAATTAACAGTCACACTGTACTAGTGAGTATGATACGATATCTAGTGATTTTTGACTTGTGTTTCCCTGATAACTAATGAGATGTTATACATTTTTATGTCTTATGGTCATTTGTACTTATTATTCAGAGAAATGTGTTTTTGAAGCCTTTACTGACTTTTCAATTGGCTTGCTTTTGTTTAATAATCTGTTATTCAGTATATGACTTGCAGGTACTTTCTCCCATTCTGTAAGGTTTTTTTGGTTGTTTTTTTCTGAAGAGTCATTTTTTAGACCTAAAGTAAAAGTCTTGGTATTTTGAAGTTGCAAATTTAAATATTTATTGATTATTGATTCCTCTTATGGTTTGGCTCTAGATGTCCCCCCAAAGTCTCATGCAGTCATTGGTGGCTTTTTCAGAGGTGACTGAATCTAGAGTGTAGTGATGGTGGGATTAAGGGCATGTGATTGATTACTAAACCAGAACACTAATTGGTTTGGCACTGCCCTAATCCCGGTAGTCTGGGTAAAATAAAAGTGTCAAAAAGATGTTGTTATGGTTTCCTTATTCCTTTTACTATCTTTCACTGCCATGAACGGTTGCCTTTCTGCCATGTGCCTCCCTGCCTTGGAGCCAGCCAATTATGGACTAAAACCTCTACAAGTTATGAGCTAAATAAACCTTTTCCCCTTTAACTTTGGATTTTGGGTATTTTGTCTCAGCAGAGAGAAAAGTAAGACAATTCCATTAATTTTTCTTATGAGAATTTTTGGTCCAGTGTTAGATGTTAGTTTCTTTGACATAAGATCCAAATATGGAGCAGGCATAGTAGAGCACACCTGTAAGTAATCCCAGCTACGCAGGAGACTAAGGCAGGAGGCTCCTGAATTCGGGGCTGGGCTGAGCCAGATAGTTACCGTGTTTCAATAAAAAGAGGTAAGGGTAAGGGAAAATCCAAATACTTTACTCTTTGAAGAGGACATTTAAAAATGCAGGGGCCAAATGTGATAGATAGCACATGCCTGTAATCCCAGCTACTCAGGAGGCTGAGGCAAGAGGATTTCAAGTTTGAGGCCAACATGGGCAATTTAGCAAGATCATGTGTCAAAATGAAACAAAAGGGGCAGGAGATTTAGCTCAATTGTAGATTTCCTATAATACCAAAGTACATTTAGTAATAAATTAATATTCATAAATATGTAGGTGCTTGGGCTGAGCACTCAGTGGCACCATGCTTGCTTAGCATGCATAAAGTCCTGTGTTCAGTCTCTAGCACTGAAAAAAAAAGAGGAAAGATTCAGATGCTAACCTATGTTAAGCCTACATTTTGTTTATTTCCAGGGATTTTTTGGTATTCCTGGTAAAATATATTTGTGGTCTGGGTAAGTCGTGTCAGAACATTTTGGTGTGTTGGACAGTTTTGTCCCCCGTCTGGAGCCTCTTAAGAGAGATCCAGTTGGGTACTGTTATTTTTTAGTTTTTTGGTACCAAGGATCAAACTGAGGACCTTGTGCTTGCAAGGCAGGTAGTGGCACCATTGAGCTGAATCACGGGCCCTGGCCCCCAGTTGGGTACTTTTAAATTGGTGCTCTTCCAACTTTAATGTACCTACGGTAATCATCTAAAGGTATTGTATTTAAAAAAATGCAGGTTCCGATTTCAGTAATTTAGCGTGAGATGTGAGATTGCACATTTCTGATGAATTCCCAGATGATGCTGCTTCTGGTCCTTGGACAAAACTGAGTAGCAGCCTCTAAAAAAGCCAACAGGAACAGAAAGATCTGAATCCTGTCATTGTAGGCTTTTTCTTGCCTTTTGTTTCTTTGTTCCCGAAACAAGTTTAGGCTGGTGATTCTGTTTTGTTTTGGTTTTTTTGGTGTGTGTGTGTGTTTTTGTTTTTTGTTTTTTTTGAGAACAGGGTCTCACTATGTAGTTCAGACTGCTCTGGAACTCACAGCGATCCTTCTGTCACAGCCTCCTGAGTGTTGGGATTACAGGCGTGCCCCACCACGCCCGGCTAGACTGGTGATTCTGAAACTAGGCCTTTTAGCCATAAGCCTTCTATACAAGAAAGGGGACAGTCGCTTCTCGGCCTTTTGGCTAAGTTCAAGAGAAGGAAGGGGACAAAGTAAAGCAGATTTGGAAGGTTCATGAATGAATGGCAGTAGACTTTAATCTTTCCATTAAATGTTTTTAGTCTTTTTCTATACTCTTGAGGTTTTAGGTGTGGATTTGTTTTTTATTACATTTGTAGATTCTTTGTCAGAGGAAATGGAAAATTTTAACATGTTTTACATCTCTGATTTACAGGTATTGATCAATATGACAGAGATAGCATCATAAATGACTTTAAGAATGGAACCTGCAAGCTTCTTGTGGCCACCTCAGTTGCTGCCCGAGGTCTAGATGTGAAACATCTGATTCTTGTAGTAAATTACAGCTGCCCCAACCACTATGAGGATTATGTACACAGAGCAGGACGGACTGGAAGAGCAGGCAACAAAGTAAAAAGAATTTTTAGTAGTTAATTTCATTTATATTAAAATACCAGTTGTTTTGTATGTTTGTTTTAGTATTTTAAGGAATAGATAATAGGACATTTTATAACATTTTCTTAATCATCAGGAAGTGTGGAATGATGTTAATCATTTGTGTGCATATGCATGTGGAGATACTGTTAATTTTTAGAAACCTTGATGCTTTCTATAGGCAGATAGTATGAACAGTCTATGTCTCCTTTTAGATTCTTTTGTTCCTTGCCTAGAAATTTGTGTACATACATATATGTAGTCCAGTATATTTCATTGCTTTTTTTAAAAAATGGGACCATAAAATACAACCATCCCCGAGTATCTCCCTCTCCCTCCCTCTCTCTCTCTCTCTCTCTTTCACACACACGCACACGCACACGCACAAATATGCATGTCATTTGCTTTTTTGACTTGTGTATTTTTATAACTATATAGGCTTAAGTTGGAGGTTTCTTTTTGTTTGTTTTCTGATATGTGACTTCCTTTGTTGCCCATACTGGCCTCAAACTCCTAGTTTCAGGCTGTTCTGCCTCAGCCTCCTGAGAAGTTGGACCTATAGGCACATACCTCTGTGCCCTACAAAATCTTCCTTCTTTTTTTTCTCCCTTTCCCCATGCTGGGGATTGATTCATGGCCTTGTGCATGCTGGGCAAGCAGTCTGCCACTGAGGTATGTCCCCAACCAGTCATTTTTTTTTTTAAGCAGCAGAATATTCTGTTGTTGGAGACATTGATGATGACCATTTGAATTTTCCAACCTTGGACATTGCATAGTGGTGCAACATTATCAACTATTAATAGTAATAGCTGATATTTATCTTCTACTTACTGTATGATGGACACTGTTCTAAGTTTTTTTACATATTCCATCTCATTTCATCCTCAAAAATTCACTTTAGGGCCGGGGATTTAGGTCAGTGGTTTTGCCACCTGCCTCGCCAGTGTAAGGACCTGAGTTCGATCTCCCAGCACCAAAAAAAGAAAAAAGGAAAAAAAAAAATTCACTTTGAGGTAGATATTAGCCCATTTTATTAATGAGAAAAAAATGAACATATAAAAGCCTAAGTCACTTGCTCAGTGTTACCCAGCTCATAAGCAGTGATGGGATTTACTCTCTTAACTGATGTATTCTGAGGAGTTGGGAACTTACTCTTTAACAGATCATGTACTAAAAATTGTAACTTTGGACCACACCAGTTTCTGTCATATATTGTCTTTCTTCTTCTCTGTGTTTATAACCATATCAAAATGTAAATGTTCTTAATCTAGGGCAACACACCAGCTGACCATGGATCAGATGTGGTGACTAGATATTCCTGAAATAAAATCTTAAACCATGTTTTTAAAATTTGTAAAAGTTTATTGTTTGAGGGACAGAGCATTTTGTGAATGACAGTCTGAATATTGTTTGTTTTTATTTCCACTCCAGTTTTTCTCTTGACTGCACACAAATTTACTTGGGGCCTCAGAAAATCTCAGGAAGGTGGGGTAGCTGATAGCATAGTTATAAAAATAAGTATACAAAAATAACTCATTTGTGCATATAAGCAAGTATATGTACATATACACTCAATTTTTGTTTTGTTTGAGGAAAATATGAAAAGCTACATCCTTGGAAGTTGATATGGGTAAAAGTGATCAGGATAGTGTGTGATGTGTGGGGGTTTATTTATTTGTGGTATTGACGATTGAACCCAGGGCCTTTGTACTGAGCTACATCCCTAGGCCTTTTTTTATTTTTTGAGACTGTCTTGCTAAGTTGCTCACAGTAGACTTGAGCGTGCCACTCTCCTGCCTAGCCTCCCAGAGTACTGAAATTACAGGCATGCTCCACCAAGCCAAGATATATTTGTTATTTATTGTTGTGATGCCAGGGATTTCACCAGGCACATGGCTAGGCTGGTGTTCTACCACTGAGCTATATTCCAAGCTCCCTTATTTTTAAATATTAGACTTAAATATTTTACTTTGAGCCATTAAAAAATAGGGTAAGACTCTTGTCTTTAAAATTCTTGGGCCAGTGTTTAGCTTAGTGGTTCCGCTGCCTATTTTGCAAGTGCAAGATCCCAAGTTTGATCCCCGGTACCAAAAAAAAAAAAAAAATCCTTTAGTAATGGTGTCAGTACTAGAGGACTTGTTGGGTTTATATTTTATCATTTTTGTGATCTATGTAAGATTCATCTTTTAGCCTCTAAGACATTCCATTTTTTCATTACCAGGGTTATGCCTACACTTTTATCACAGAGGATCAAGCTCGCTATGCTGGTGACATTATTAAAGCTCTTGAATTGTCAGGGACTGCAGTGCCTCCTGATCTAGAGAAACTTTGGAGTGATTTCAAAGATCAACAGAAAGCTGTAAGCTTTTAAACTCTTTTATGCAAATTACTGATGTAACTGATACTTGGACATCTTGATAAGACTGTTTGCATTTATTTCTTGTGGAGGGAGTAAAAACAATGTTCTCATTTGGCTGAACTTAATATTTTGTGTTGTTTGTTTGTTTTTTGAACTTAATATTTTGTAAGCTCTTAGTTTTTGTTTTTTACTAGGTAAAATATATTTTGACTTGTCATATGCCACCTTGAAAAGTACGTGATAAGTTTTTACTATGAAATTAACTTTTTAATTTTTCCTTAAAAGGAAGGAAAAATAATTAAAAAGAGTAGTGGGTTCTCTGGTAAGGGATTCAAGTTTGATGAAACAGAACAAGCCTTGGCCAATGAGAGGAAGAAGTTACAGAAGGCAGCTCTTGGTCTGCAAGATTCAGATGATGAAGATGCTGCAGTTGATGTAAGTATTCTGTTTCATGGGCAGTTGAAGTGATTATTCCTTTTACACTGGTGGTCTTTTCTTAGGCTTCTTGGGATAGCTAGTCACTGGAAAGCTTTTCTGTTTATATGTGTGCATATATTCTCATTTTTATAGTTTCATAAAAATGGGATTATACTGCTTTATAATTTCTTTATAACAGCAGTATGTAGAAATCTTTCCATTTTACTAAATTCATTCTTATTCTTGATTGCTACATTATATTTTATCATTTGGCTGTTTCACAGTTGAATAAATCAAATTTACACTTGAATGGTTGTTTTTCATATATTCACTATTTGGAATATATTATCAACAGCATTTCATTGCACATTTAACTTTGCACATGCATTAGGTTATATCTTGAGAATTAGTTTGTAAGTGGAATTGCTAGGCCATAAGTATAGTATTTTATTTGGTTTTAAACATTGTCAGATTGCTGGCCATGGTGGTACATGCCTATAATCCCAGCACTCAGCAGGCTGAAGCAGGAATATCTCTGCAAATTTGAGGCCTGTCTGAGCTACATAGTTCAAGGTCAGCCTTAACTACATAGTGAGACCCTGTCTCCAAAAAACAAAAACAAAAAACAAAATTGTCTGCTTGTCTTCCAGTAAGGGAGTATTAGTTTGGGTCCATCATACTAGTGTGAGAAAATGTCTGCCTTCAACAGCAATACCTTCAAAGCAATACCTTTTAGCAGCATTGCTACTAATAATGTTTTTTCATTTTTCTGTGGTACTCAGGATGAAAGCCAGGGCCTTGTACCTCCAATGCTGTTTTTTTATCTTTATAAATTTTGTGTGTGTGTGTGTGTGTGTGTGTGTGTGTGTGTGTGTGTGTGTGTGTGTGTGTGTGTGTGTGTGTGTGTGTGTGTGTGTGTGTATAGGGTCTTACTATGTTGTTCGGGCTGGCCTTCAACTCACTATGTATCCCAGGTTGGTCTCGAACTCACAGCAATCCTTCTGCCTCAGCCTGCAGAGTGCTGGGATCACAAGCATGCACCACCAGGCCCAGTAAACAATAATAATAGTTGACCAGCCAGGCATGGTAGCTCACGCCTGTAATCCCAGCACTCAGGAGGCTGAGGCAGGAGGATCACTGTGAGTTTGAGACCAGCCTGGGCTACCTAGTGAGTTCCAGGTCAGTCTCAAGTACATAGTGAGACCCTGTGTCAAAAAAACAAAAACAAAAAAACCTCTATTAAACATTTATCTTACCAGGTATGATGGCACATTCCTATATTCCTAACTCTTCAGGAGGCTGAGGTAGGAGGATTGTTTGAACCTAGAAGTTTAAGGCCAATAAATGCAAACTGAGCCTCTTTTGTCTCAAAACTCCCCCTTCCTCCCAAAAAAGAAAACCTTTAGAACACAATTTTGTAAATCAAGTATTTAATCTGAGGCTCACCAAAAGTATTTCATTTTAACCATACTGGGAATTAAACACAGCTAGGACTAGAACCTAGGTCTCATGGTAATCTAATGCTTTCCTTTTCTAGTGTATTTTACTAGCTCAAAATTCAGTAAAGTCTGTTTTGGTTACACTATCTGTTAATGTATAACAAATCAATCCAAAACTGAGCAGCTTAAAACAATAAGCCTTTATTATCTCATAGTTTCCAAGGGGCAAGAAATTGTGTTAGCTGGTGTGTTCTGACTTGGACACAGTTAAGTGGTTGGGCCAGATTTGAGTCCTCTGGCTCTGCCTCTTGAAGAGAGAATTAAATGATTTCTAGAAATATTTAAAAATCACCTGTTACTTTTTTATGTTATGTTTGAGGTTTTTTTAAAAAAAAATCTCATTCAGGAGGCTGAGGCAGGAGGATTGCCACTGAGTTCAAGGCCAGCTTGGACTACATTGTGAGTTCAAGACCAGCCTAACTACACAGTGAGACCCTGTCTCAAAAAAACTTTAAAAAATTTTTAACACCCCCCCTCCTACAAAACTCCGTATTGAAACATGTTGATTCTGTTAAAGTAATGTTTGTTTAAAAAAAAAAAAGAATACTTTAAATAAACCCTAAAATAAAGTTAGCTTATCAACTAGTACCATATACATTCTGCATTCCTGATTTTGTGTTTATTTAGATCTTAATACCATGCATGCTGTTTTAGTTTAAAGTAGTTTTACTCGGCTAACTGTTGAGTTTAAAACCAGCTTTAGGAGCCAAGCATGGGATGCATGACTGTAATCCCCAACACTCGGAAGGCTGAGGCAGGAGGAGTACTGTGGGTTGGAGGCTAGCCTGGCCTCCGTAGTGAGTTTAAGGTCAGTATAGAATATGTAGTGAGAACCTGTCTCCAAAAAAAAAAAAGAACAAACCAGCTTAGATCTCAGCAGCACCAGAAAAATAAAGACAAAAGAAAAAGCCCCCAAACAAAACCACACACAAAAATAAAGAATAACCAGGGCTGGAGATTTACCTAGGTAGTACCATACCTGCCTGGCAAGTGCAAAGTCCTGAGTTCAATCCCCGGTACCAAAAAAAAAATAAATAAATAAATAACTTTTTTTTTTTTTTAAGTAAAACCATTTCTTTTTTCAGTAAAAGGGCTTCCTAAATTAACCTAATTAATTTTAGCCCCAAACAATTTTTCTGCATAGGAGATAAAGCCTTTTAATCTGAATTTATAAAAGAATTTGTATTTCTTTAGTCAGCAGTGTCAGTAATCATTGTGGGCAAAAGACAGTGCTGAATTTTCTTAGTATTCATTTATTGCACTAAGGCTTAGTGACTTTGGAAGACCTGAGGCCTCTACAGTAGCTCATTTTGATGAAAAAACCAGCTTTTATATTCTTGATTCAAAAGAATAAGGCAAATGGGCCTCTTTTTGCTTACCATTTTTAAGGTAAATCCAATTACATTTTAGGAATTGGAATGAGAGCTCTGCCTTTGGAACATGTTGCACCATTCCTCCCAAGAATTACTATTTTTAGTTGTCTCCTTGCCTTGAATTATAGTCCTTCCAGATTTGTTCACTGCAGTATAATTTGGCCTCCAGGTCTGAGCACTGGAGCAACTCAGCTGCATTATATGGGTCATTCCATTTGATAGCACACATTTCCTCATTTATCAGCCTGGGATACATTTTCTGGACCTCTCAGGAAGAGTCCGATTGACTGGTTTGTGCAGCATTGCATCTCAGTTTACTATTTTCTTTTCAGTATACAGACAGTGGATTTTCCAAATGAAATGTACAGCCTTTAATAAATTAATGGTATATTTTGCTATTAACCTATGTAATTGAATTAATAAATATAATTGATCCTAGCCTGTTGGTGGAAACATTTTTACTTATTTCTATAAATATAACAAAACTGATATTTCACATCTAGTTTTTGCTAATGCTCGTTTTTTTCTTTGGTCTAGATTGATGAACAAATTGAAAGCATGTTTAATTCAAAGAAGAGAGTAAAGGATATGGCTGCTCCTGGAACATCTAGTGTTCCTGCCCCAACTGCAGGAAATGCTGAAAAATTAGAAATTGCTAAGCGATTGGCGCTCAGAATCAATGCTCAGAAGAATTTGGGCATCGAGTCTCAGGTATTAAGTACTTTTTCCATGTCTCGGTCAGTATATTTGATTTAGATACTTTTCAGGAATTTTGCCCAGCACAAGTGGAACATGTTTTCCCTGAAATTGAGCTTGTTAAGAATTTAACATTCTCAATAGAGGATTTCTTAATAATTGCTTTTGGGTGATTTCACTAGTGTGGTTAACTGAAGGCTTTATGCTTAGTCTGGAAGGTCTAACAGGCATGTTAAGCATAGATAATTTTTATAGAACAGTGAAGCATCCCTGATCTAAAAATCCAAAATACTCCGGAATCTGAAATTTTTTGACCATTGACATGATGCTCAAAACTTTTGGATTTTGTAGAATTTGGGGTTTTGAATTAGGGATAGCCAACTGATAAAATCTATGCAAATAATCTAAAATTCATAACTAAAACACTTATGATCATGAGCATTTTGTAAAAGAGATTCTCAGCCTATAGTGTATTCTGATTTAGTTTTACTAAAATGTAAAGAATTAACTATCTTTTTTCTTAATCTGTTCTCATTGGATGGGTTGGTAGAAACAGACTGTTCCCTGAATGTATGAAGATGCGGTTATATGACTCTAATGTGATGAAATAGTGGAGAGCTGTGTTTTCTAAATATTTCATGTTATCTTTTTCTTGGGAGCTTTTTTGTTAACTTTTAGCTGAGTGAATTTTCATAGCATTCTCAAGAAATGGCTTATCAATTGAAGATTTAGAGTAAGTCATTTGCTTGTTCTCCCCCCCATACTGGAATTTGAACTCAGGACCTTGTGCTTGCTCAGGTGCAGTACCACTGAGCTACATCTCTGGCCCCACTGCAGCTTGTTGAATGTTGGGTTGGGCCATGGGGGAGGAGATGCTCAGTGTTAATGGTACAAAGGTTCTGATTCAGAGGAAACTCCTAGGTGTCACAAAATATGTAAATGATTTTAGGAATAATGCATCATATCTGATATCCAGAGTTAACTAATTATAAAGGACATATTTATAGTCCAGTAGAATATTTAATAAAGAATTGAATATTGTTTACTTTTCTCAAAAGTAAGGGAGATAAATTATTAGTACATAAATATATATTGCTGAATTTCACATATATGTATGTGCAATATATATGTGGGACTCTGCGGTAGAAAGGTGCTTTTTATTTATTTAAAGAGAATTAGTCATTTTCAGAGTATAATTTGTGGAAAGGTTCCTGGTCCTGTCTCTGTCCTCAGTTGAGATTTGACTGTAGATATTCTTTAACTGCAGGATGTGATGCAACAGGCCACCAATGCAATTCTAAGAGGTGGCACTATTCTGGCTCCCACTGTGTCTGCAAAAACCATCGCAGAGCAACTTGCTGAAAAGATCAATGCCAAGCTCAATTATGTGCCTTTAGAAAAACAAGAAGAGGAGAGACAGGATGGTGGTCAGAATGAATCTTTTAAGAGATATGAGGAAGAATTAGAGATTAATGACTTCCCACAGGCAAGTAACAGATTTAAATCTTTTTATATTGTGAAGTAGAAACTCTTGCTTCTTTAGGAACAAAAATCTCTTCTTTTTGGAGGGGGGTGGGAGGGTGGGGGAGTGGGTTGGGGAGACAAGGTCTCACTGTGTAATTCAGGCTGGCCTTGAACTCACTATGTTAGCCCAGGCTGGCTGTGAATTCAGAGAGATGTTGCCTCAATCTCTGGAGTACTGGGATTACAAGTGTGCTCTACCACATCTGGCTAGAAAGCCTTTCTTTAAAACATCATCATTTTGCTAGGGATTTAGCTCAGTGGTGCTGTGCCTGCCTCACAAGTACAAGCTCCTGAGTTCAATCCCTGGTACCAGAAAAAAAATAGCAACAAAAAACGTCATCATTTTAAGATGAATATTCACTACTTCATTTTTATCTATGTGGGAAAGACAGCAATAGAAATTCATTTGTTATTCTATGAACATATTCTAGAATATGTTCTAGGTGCAATAGGATTATGATCTTAATATTGACCATAATATGTTAACCATCCTTTTCTTTGTCAGCATACTAGATTTTTAGTTATTGTCATTGAATAATTTTTTTCTCCCACCTCTTTTAGACTGCTAGGTGGAAAGTTACCTCTAAGGAAGCTCTGCAGAGAATCAGTGAATATTCTGAAGCTGCTATTACAATCAGAGGAACTTACTTCCCTCCTGGCAAAGAACCAAAGGAAGGAGAACGGAAAATTTACTTGGCAATTGAAAGTATGTACTTCTGGCCCTGTTTGAGGTTTGAGTTGGATCAAAGTTGTTGGTAGATGTGATAGACCCAAAGAAAATACGCAGTCAAAAAAGACTAAAAATAAGGGCTACCTATAAGAAAAAAATAGTTTCATGTATCATCTGAAGTCTTTGTTTAGAAGTTGTTCGTTAACCATACAAAGATAAATGATCTGTTTGTGAGAATCATATTTGAAAATTATTTTAAAAGCATGCATTGTAAGGACTGACTTGTTTATAAGGGGTGATCAAAATGTAGTGAATATTTAAATATAGACATTTATTGCAGTAAAAGACACATTGCTATTAATCTCCCTTATAATACAGTACTTTCCCTCACTTCAAGCACTCTTAGCTCATCATTCCTGCCACTTCTTGAAGTTGTTCTGGAAGTCTTTTGTGAATCTCTTTATGAGGTATAATTAAAAATATGGTTAATGCTGTGCCAAGTGCCATCCAACAGAAAGGCGGATTTGTAAACAGTATGGTGTGTTTTTATCCACTGTATCTGGCACCATGCAACTTCTGGCTCTTTCCCAAAGTCCAAATGATTGTGAAAGGTAATGTTTTGAATCGCTTCAGGACCTGGAGGCAGCCATTATAGCACAACCAAAGATAATCATGACAGAGGACTTCCACAACTGCTTCAGAAAGCGGCAATAATGATGAGCTAAGTGTGTTTGAAATAAGGGGCAGTATTTTATTTTATTTTATTTTATTTTTTAAATTTTTTTTGGTTTTTTGAGACAGGGTCTCACTATGTAGTTGAAACTGACCTGGAACTCACTATGTAGCCCAGGCTGGTCTCGAACTCACAGCGATCCTCCTGCCTCAGCCTCCCAAGTGCTGGGATAACAGGAGTGCGCCACCATGCCCGGCAAGGGGCGGTATTTTAATAGTAGTGTGTCCTACTTTAATAATTTTTTAAGCCGGGCATGGTGGCACATGCCTATAATCCCAGCACTGGGGAGGCTGAGACAGGAGTATCACTGTGAGTTGGAGACCAGCCTGGGCTACATGGTGAGTTCCAGGTCAGTCTCAACTACATAGTGAGATCCTGTCTCAATAAATAAATAAATAAGTGAACAAACAAATGATAATTTTTAAAGATTTAAACATTGAGTGTATTGTTTGATCATACTTTGTATGCTTCTACATGTGAAGGAGTCTAGTTATAAATTATACTTAATATTATAAATTAATGAATAAGCAAAGTTTGCCCAATGAAGTTTATCATACATTTTTTTTTGTTTGTTTTTTTGAGACATCATACATTTAATACAATAACAAATGGACAATATTATCACATAAGAGAGATTGTCTAAAAGTGATCAGATTTAGTTTTCAGCCATATTTTATTCATGAATGAATTCATCCCACTGGTAATTTTCTTCTTCAATTTTTCCTGATGAATTGGTCAATTACACTGTAGTACAACCTGCCCCACTTTGTGTGTGTGTGTGTGTGTGTGTGTGTGTGTGTGTGTGCACGTGCGCGTGTGTGTGTGCTTTTTTGAGACAGGGTCTTGTGTAGTTGAGGTTGGCCTGGAATTCACTATGTAGCCCAGGCTGGCTTCACACTTGTGGCAATCATCCTGGCTGGGATCACGGGTGTGTGTCACCATGCCCAGCCCTGCCCCACTTTTTTATATTTACTCTGAACATGTTTGTAATAAACATTTTAAGTCATTTTTATTAACTAACTGTATAATAGAAGTGAGATGGTGAGAACTGGACTGTTAGAGAAGTAACGTGTGTGAGCTTCATCTCCCAGATACTGCCACGTTGTCTTCGGTATGAAGCTTAGATTTACAATTTGGCTTGCTCTTTTTGCTTGGGCCACCCCCATTTAGAAATGTTTAGGAAATTTGTCAGCAGTCTTATGTCACTGAGGGCTTAGTGAATTAAAAATGCCTACATGAAAGCCATACTCAGGGAAAAGTTTGTAGCTGTTAATCAAATGACTAAACTATACAAAAAGACCTCAGCTCCTGCTTTTCTTGGTGGTAGATATTTTCTAGTGTTCTTTTTTTGAGGCAAGGTCTCAGTGTGTTTTCCAGGCTGGCCTTGAACTCCTGGGTTCAAGCAATTGTCTTGTCTTAGGTTTCCAAGTGTTTTATTTGCCATTTTGATCTGCTCTCTTTTTTTTTTTTTTTAACACAAGCAACAAAAATTTTGAAGGTAGATTCTTAATGGTTACCCTATAGGTTGTAATTAATATTAATTCATAACAGTGAAGTTGGATTCATACAAACTCAGGTTTTTTTGTTTGTTCATTTGTGAGTGAGTGAGATAGTCTCTCTGTATAGTGTAAGCTGGTGTTGCATTTGAAGTCCTGCCTCAACCTCCCAAGTGCTGGAATTACAGGCATGTGCCCCCATGCCCAGCTAGTCTGTTTTGGGGTGGGCTTGGGGTTGAGCCCAAGGCCTCTTAAGCATGCATTCTGTGTCTGAGCTACATCCCTGCGTCTCTTACTTCGTTTTTATAGAGCACAAAAATTTTGCTCCTGTATAGTTCTGTTTGTTCTATATTTTTGTTGTTAGTGTCACAATCTGCATTTTTATGCATTATATATCCTTTAATATAGATTTAAAATTATTTCATGTAATTTTTTGGTACGGGATCGAACTTGAGCTTGCAATGCAGGTGTGGTGCCGCTGGCCCTATTTCATGTAATTTGTCTTTGAAGTCATATAGGAAAATAAAGGAGCCACACATTAAAAATGCTACTGACTTTTGTATTTACCATTATTTTTTTCACATGGATTTGAGTTTCTCCATGCTATTCAAGTTTCCGTCTAGTGTTTCTCCACTTTCAGTCTGGAGGAGTTTCTTCTTTAGTACTTTTTTTTTTTTTTTTTTTTTTTGCTTTTTTTTTTGTTTCCGTTTTTTGCTTGTTTTTTTTTTTTTTTTTTTTTTTTTTTTTGCTTTTGCTTTTGCTGTCGCTTTTTGTCTTTGTCCTTTTTTTTTCCCCTTTAGTACTTTTAATAGGGTAAGTCTCCTAGCAGTATACTCTGTTTGTCTGAAAATGTCCTAATTTTAATTTCATCTTTGAAAACTTTCTTTTCTCCTTTTGGCCAGGCATGGTGCCACATCCCTGTGATTCAGGCTGTTTGGGAGGCTGAGGCAGGAGGATTGCAAGCTTGAGGCCAGTTTGGACTATTACCAATACCCAATCTTTAAAGGGTTGGGGATGTTTTCTGTGGTAGAGCATTTGCCTAGCATTACATGAGACCCTCGTTTCACTTACCAACTATCACAAAGAAAATTTTTTCCACTTTTTTTTTTTGGTACCCAGAATTGAACTTAGAACCTTGCACTTGGGAGGCAGGCGGCAGCACCACTGAGCCCCATCCACCTTCATTTTTGAAGTATAATTTTCTGGCTATAGAATTCTTAGATGAATTCTTTGGTGATTTTTTTTTTTTTTTTTTAATCACTTTGAACATCTTCCACTACCTTCTGGCTTCCATGGTTCCTGGTAAATCATTTGTTAACTTGGAGGTAGTGAGTCGCTTGTGGAAGTGATGAGATGGTTTGTTATAGCAGTTTGATAATTTTTGAGTATGCTACACATGGATTTTGGGGTTTTGTTTTTATGGGAATCTTGGAAAGCATTACAGGGGAAAAAACCCTATTCTTCCTGAGGGAGAAAGGAAAAACTTAGAAGCGATGCTATACTTAAAAGTTGTTCTAGGAATCCAGGTGTAGTGGTGCATACCTGTAATCTCAGCATTCTAGGATTGCAAGTTGACTCCTAGCCTGGGCAGTTTAGCCAGACTGTGTCTCAAAAAGAAAAAAAAAAAAAAAAACCTAGGGATATGGCTCAATACAAAGACCCTGGGTTCAGTCCCCACTCACTCAAAAAAAAAAAAAGACCTCCAGAACTGGGCATATGGATTCATGGTAGATCACTTACCTATTATATGAAATACCCTGGATTCAGTACTTAACACCGCAAAAAGAAAAATAGTAAAGAGAAGGTTCTGGTAAACACCTTCCTATTCATCCTATTGTAATAGCTTTACATGTTTGTTTTTCTAATAATCTATAAGATTATAGAGAATACAAATATGTTGTGTAATAAGTCTTTTGCAGTATATATGCATGGTGGGTGCTTAATGTTTCTATAATAACTGAATACATGTCTCCAGCGTACCACATCTAGTCTTAACTGTATTCTTACACATTATTTTCTCCTGCCACACTGCACTGCACTACCCTTCCTCTTCAGTAATTAGAGAGAGGGAGGGAGAAAAAATTTTGTACTTTCCACATATACTCTCTCTTGCAAAATATTCTTAATGTTGTCTGTCCTCCTGTAACTTGAATAGTCTTCCATCTAGTGCCTGTAAAACTTCATTCAGATGATATCTTCCTTGAGTATTTGCAGACTTCAAAGAACACAATAAACCCCACAGTGCTGAGATTATAGGCTTGCACCATGATGCCCAGCAGAACTCTTAACACTGTGTGTAAAGTGACCTCCAGTGGTTTTGGGGGCGGGGGTGGAGGAGTACCTGGAATTGAGCTCAGGACCTTGCACTTGCAAGGCAGGCAGCGACACCACTGAGCTAAACCCTGGGCCGTGGTGGTTTATTTTGAAACTCTGAAAGTAATCAGAGTTGGGCATGGTGACCTACACCCTAATCCCAGCACTTGGGAGGCTGAGGCACGAGAATCAGTGTGAATTTGAGGCCAGCCTGAACTACATAAACCCTGTCTGAAAGACAATACAAAACAAAAATCAGAATAATAAGTAGCCATTATATAATGTGGGTGGTGTTCTACTAAGCATTGAACAGCTGTCTTGGGAGGGAGTTCAGTGTTCCTAAAAGTCACCTCTAGTACTGTATTTCCTCTTGAACCTCCATGACATGGGTAAACATCTAGTGTAATTCTAGTAATACAGATGTATTTTCTACTCGATCACCAGGTGCCAATGAACTTGCTGTGCAGAAAGCAAAGGCAGAAATCACCAGGCTCATAAAAGAAGAATTGATCCGGCTGGTAAGTAAAAGCCTCAAGGACTTATTTTTATTGACTTATAATATATATACAATGTAAACGTTTTATTGACCAATAAAATACAGACAAATAGACAAATCATGAACATATAGCTTGATGAATTTTCAGAGTAAGTACATCTGTGTAATCACTACTCAAATTAAGAAATAAAGAACATTACCAGCATCCAGAAGCCTTCTCCTTATCACTATTCATCTCCTTATAATATAACCATATTGCAACTTTTTAAATCAGAGATACAGATAAGCCAGATACGTTGGCACATGCCTGTAATCTCAGCACTTGGGAAGCTGAGAGAGGAGGGTCTTAAATTCAAGGCCAACCTGAGTTACAAAGCAAGACTGTCTCAAAGAATCTTTATTTTGCCTATATTTGAACTCCTTATAAATAGAATCATATGCTGTGTACTCCCTTTGTATCTCAGTATGGTCTGGAGGTCAGTCCATGCTGTTGCAAGTAGCAACAATTTGTTGAATATACCACAGTTAACTTATGTGGTGGACTTTAGGGTCATTCTAGTTTTTGTTTTCTATAAACCGCCTTTTGTGTCTTTTTTATACATATTAATATGCTTTTATTCTTGGATTTATGAATTAGAATAGAATTGCTATTTGTAGAATTAAGTATAGTTTGGCTTTTTAGTAGATATGGCTAAATGTTTTCCAAAGAAATTATACTGATTTACTCCTTCCTACACAGCATATGAAAATTTCAGTAACTCTGAATCTTTGCTGACGCATAGTGTTGGCAAGGTTGATTTAGGTTTTGTTATTGTTTTTATTGTTTTGGCAGGTTTTTTTTTAATTTAAGCAATGGCTTAATTAGCCATAGACTACCTTTCCAAAGGGCACAGACATGTCCTTGTATCTTTTTGTTTGTTTCTGGGTCTTTTGTTTTTTGTTTTGAGACAGGGTCTCGTTATGTAGTCTAGCCTTGTCTTGAACTCACTGTGTACCTTATGCTGGCCTCAGACTCCTGGCAATCTTCCTGTCTCTGTTTCCTGAGTGCTGGGATTATAGGCATGTGCCACCACACTTTCTCTATAACATGGACATTGGGTGAGGGTCCTTCTTATTCTTTCTGTTTAAGAGTATGACTTTGAGGATTTTTTAAAAATTTCAGTTACAGAGCATTATTTTTGGGAGATAAGATAACTAAAGAAGAGAGGGTATCTCTAAAGTAGGAAAAAGAAAACAATCTTTAAATCAGGGTTATAAGCCTCTTTCATCAAGGAGTGATAAAAAAACAACCATATTTTTGTATATTGAAAACAGTTGTCAAGGGAACTTCAGTGAATTAAAATAAGTGGTTAGTTATTGGATAGTTCCTTGTGCCTCAGTGCAGTAATATTAACATCTTTATTTTGACTGTGATAATTTTATAAGAGAAAAAATGATCTTACGTTTTCTTTTTCTTGCTTTTTCTAACCATGTATCTCTTTTTTATTACAGCAAAATTCATACCAGCCGACAAATAAAGGAAGATATAAAGTCTTATAAACATCTAAAAAAACCTTTTTTTTAACCTGTGCTGGTCTGTGATACAGTAGCAGTTGTTGTCTGAAGTTTACAATGTATTGTAAATTAAGATTTTTTTAATTCTGTCTTGCTGATTTTTTTAAATACAAGAAACCAGTTTTTGCTAAAGAAATCTGTCAGTAAGTAGCTCCACAATTATTCAAACTATATTTAAAGCAGGTGTGTTTTCAGAGTACGGTATCTTTAATGTGCAACTTAAATATTGGTATTTTAAATATCTGGATAATATTCTAGAGGTTTAAAAATGAAAACATTTGGGCTTTGTATTGAGGTAATAAAGAATACAAGTAACTAAGGAGCAACACATCTTATCTTTCAGCAGAATTATCTCCTGAGAAAAGGTGAAATTTTGTCATATTTTGTGTCACCCCCTCCTCAAACTTAAATCTTGCTCAATAGACCATCTAAACTGGATTTAAAAATATAATAGAAGCTTTACAAATTAGGTTCAGAATTTTTTTTAATCATTGTAAATTGGCAATAGTTGGATTATTTTTGGTTTTTGTAAAATTAAAGATTTGTAGCATAAGAATTTTTTGCATTTCTTTACACTGCAAAGAGTTTTAGTATGTACTACTTTTAGATTCTTCTTGCAACCTCTAGATGTATGCCTAGGTATTCTTTCTTAATCTTATCTAAAAGAGCAGTTATAGCCTATAAATATTAAATATGATTCCTTTTCCCCCTGAAAGTGTTTTTTTAGACATCTGTACATATGGGTTTTTTTTTGTTGTTGTTGTTTTTGTTTGTTTTTATTTTTGTTTTTCAGTACTGGGAATTGAACTCAGGACCTTGTAAGGCAGGTGCAGTGCCACTGAGCTAAATCCTTGGCATCCCTACTGCTTTTAATCTGCTTTCCTTCAAGATTATTATAGGTTGTGAGTTTTTTAAAAACATTTACGTTTGGGGGGGCTGAGACAGGAGGATTACTACAAATTCAAGGCCACCCTGGGCTACATATTAAATTCAAGGCCAGCCTGAACTACACAGCGCGACCCTATATCCCCCCCAAAAATAAATAAAGCATACTGGTACATAAGTTTTAGACAGACTTCAGCATTTCTGTGAAATGTAGTGCACAAGGAATCAAAATTGTGTTTTGAGCCCTCAAGATCTAACTCTGGAATATTCTAGTTTAAATAGCTATTGTTGGATTACCTAATTCTTTCCAAGACCTTTGGTATATTAGCACTTCCTATTGTCACTTGAAAAAGTTTTTTCAGGAATTAAGGTGTATTTCTTAAATTAAGAAACAGCCTCTATGCTTGACTTAATAATTTTCAAAAAGCAAAATATTACAGGCAATAGCCAAAGTGACAAGGCATATCAATTATTTATTCAATATAAATTATCTCCATTCACAAAGTAAGATAGAACTGAAGTGTTTTTAGATCCCTTATACATTTATTTAAATAATTGAAGGAAGAAAACAAAGTACATGTAACCACAGAATGAAATAAACCATTTACTCTAAAATTTCAGGCACCCTCTCCCCCTTATTTATTTACTTGTCATTATGTGGATAGTTTGTTTTCTTTGATAGCATATATCATAGTCCCACATTGGTGACATTTGGTGCTCCCTTATACTTACTAGATCACTTTGGGATTCAGAGATTACATCATTTTAGCATTTCCTTTATGTTTGTATATCTAGTTGTGATGAGCTGCTAGGATTTTGTTCTAAAATGAAGCGTTATTTTGGTGGTATGTTTTTAGTGTCACACTGATTTTTAGAATTTGAATGATGTACAGGCTTTAATTTGTTTTTTTTAATGCAATATTTACTTGTGTTTTCTAAATTCCTTATAAAATAAATTCAGTCTGCATTTTTCTAAAATTACCTTTCCTCAAATGATTTCTCTTCTTTTTCTCTAATTCTTTAGTAATGGTAAACATATGAGAGAAGTATTATACTCTATATATCTTTTTAAAAATTCTAGCAATTCACTATCCAAAACTTTGATAGTTTAAACATAAGATAGAGAAAATACAGGTAGAAGGGACACAAGGAAAATCACAATTTTTAAAATTGCAGCTTCAGCACACACAAGTTAATCCAAGCCTGTTTCCTCTTCCAGGAAACTCACTCAAAAAATTTTTCCCCCCAAAGGGTTTCAAATTCAGCTCATGATTTTCACATTTTTCATGACTAGGCTACCATTCTTCAACTGTGAGTAGGCCATCTCTCTTCACCTGTAAAATGAGGCCTTTCACTTTATGAATGGGCCATCACCCTTCACTGGAAGAAGTGCTGTCACTTTTCACCTATAAATTGAATCTCCACTTTCCTTACATTTCCATCACCAAAACACAAATATATCCAGCTCAGGCCACAAGGCATCTCTGTCTGTCTGTCTCTCTCCTTCCCTCTATTGTCTTTGAGTGTGTACTTTTGAAACCTCCTATGTCTCTGACTGATATGTCTTGAAAATTATTTTTCTGTGACTGAAGTCCGTGAACCTACAGGTTCTTTAGCCCTGATTTGGGAAACCTCCTCAGACAGTTCTGGGAAAATTTATAAATTTTCTGAGAAAAATTGGATTTTTTAAATATTTTTGCATAAGACAAATGTAGTTGAATTAATAGGTTAATTTGACAGTCAAGAGTTTTACCATGTTGGCTTCTACTCTTACAAAATGGAGATACATGGTACTTAAGAGGCCCCAGTTCGGGGCAAGAAGCAAGAGCAGAGGCTCCAGGCTCTCTGTGGTACTGGAAGGGGCCAGTCTGGAGAGGGTCAGGGTAGAGAAGACGTGAATTACTCAGCTGTGACAAGTACAGGTCTGTGTTGTTGAGGGACCCTGGGCAAATGTGACCAGACATAGCCCAAAGAACTCGTTGATACTGATGAGCAGTCTTCAACAGAGCCAGATTGCTGCAGGTTTGTATCCACGCACAGAAGCTGATTGATGGAACCAGACTTTGACTCCTTTTGTGGCTTTATGTTTCAGCTTTTATACAATTTAAACAGCTGATAGCCCCCAGAAGCTTTTGAAGGTAATTAAGAGTTCATTGTCAGATCATTTCCCAGTTGGCTGTATGAAAATTGGCTCTTCTTTTCATCCCAGTCATCAGTAGTGTCCAAGAGTTGGTGCCAGTTGTGACCCTGTTGTTTTTGCTGTGGGAACCTTTGCCTGTGGCAAGGTCAGGGTGAAGTACAAAGAAAAGATGGTATCCATTAGCAGCTACCCCCACTCTGCTGCCCTCACTTGTGCTAAATCGCCTTTGAAGAAGTATGGGGGGAGACCCTCTGGTTCTGAAACAGAGGCCTATTGACATCACTTCCCTTATTCCTGCTCTGAACTGACTGCTGGAAGATGACCTTCCCATGCTGAGTCTAGAGCCTGGAGAAGCCTATGCTGTACATTTTCTTTTCATTTGTCCTATAAATGCTGTTTAAAATAAAAGGGGGGGGATGGAGATACAGTTAGGCATGATGATACATACCTGCATGTCTTCAGACCCTTTGGGAGACCTCAGGTTCAAGCTCAGCCTGGACAACTTAGCAACCTTGCCTCAGTATAAAAGAATAGAAAGGACCTGCCCCATTAATCGCTAGGGATAATTACTAAGGCTGTTGGGGCCGGGGATTTAGCTCAGTGATGCTGCACCTGCCTTGCAAGCTCAAGGTCCTGTGTTTGATTCTCAGTGCAGGGGAAAAAACAAATTTTTAGGGATTTGATTCAATGCAAAGATCCTAGGTTCAGTCTCTAGTGCCACACAAAAAAAAAAAAAAAAAAAAAGACAGACAAAATGAAAGGGCAATGATGAAGTTCTGCACAACTCCTTGGCACACTTACACTTTAATATTTAATATGCTTTGGAGCCTAGGATTTAGCTCAGTGGTTCTGCCACCTGCCTCTCAAGCACAAGGTCCTGAGTTCAATTCCTGGTACCTAAAAGAAAATAAATATTTAATACACTTTGTGTCTTTTTGGCTTTGTTGGTGTACACATGGTGTTCAACTGGTAGTCACAATGCATCTTTGACTCTCGTACTTTTTTTTTTTTTTAAGCTACTGTCCTTATGTATGAAAGAGTGGTAAAGGAAAACTAGCTCTTAAATCTTGGGATTTATAAATCTCATTAAGTCCTCTGTGGGGTCTGCTTCAAAGTAACACATGAGCATCATGAAAATTGCAGACTAGAAAACAGCTCCAAAGTTAGAACTCAGCTGTGTCTGAGCTGTGGTTGTTGCTGTTACAGTATATAGCTAAAATGTCCCAAAAGTCTAATATGTTCAGAGGTGGAACTTTTGAAAAGTAATTAGCTCCTGGGGGTGCTATGCTCATTTGATTAATCCACTGATGACTCTGTGGCTATATATGCTATTAGGTGGAGATCAGTTGGAGGTGGGTCCCTGGGAGCATGAGTTGGGAGAGTGTATTCTTGTCCCTGCCTCTTCCCTTCCCTCTCTGCTCCCTTGCTACAATGGATTGAGCAACTTTCCTCTACCATGCCTTTCCACCACGGACTAAGTTCCCTGAAATCTGAACCAAAGTAAACCTTGAAGTTGCAAGTGTTGGGTATGTTGTCCCAGCAGTGCCTTTCTTTGCTTCATAGCCATCAGGGGTCTGTTAGTGACATTTCTGTAGAGCTTGTGTAAGACAACTGATGGGGAAAGTGGTAGTGCAAATGAAATCTAGGGTAGACTTTGTTCAGAAAAAGTATTTGTTTGGCTGCCTTTTAGATAATGCTAGTTCATCACAGCAGCCAAGAGACCTGAGCATCTCGCCTAGTGCAGTCTGAAAACTCTTGCACTTAGACCCTTCTGACGTGAAAAACTAAATTTATTTTTTAAAAGAGTGTGTGTGAGTGTATACGTAAGGTGAGAGAAGAGAATGAGTGTGTAGGTTCTTTTTAATTTAGATATAGCCACCAGAAAACCTTAAGAGCAAAAGTTTACTGTGGAGGGTCATGAAGCTTGGAGTATAACATCTCACCACTGTTTAAGGAAATACTCCCTATACTCATAAGCTATCTCTGGAGTGAAATATGTCTGAATTTCCCTTACTAGGTAAATAGTCCCTGACATGTTGCAGTTATGGAAATTCTGGGGGGAGAGGGTTGGATAAGGTCTCGCCATATAGTTGAGGCTGAACTTCAAGTGATCCTCCT